AAGTTATAATAGTTTATTTTTACATATTTTTGTGCATTTTTCCATCTCAGTTGCAATCCCCTTGGGTTTCCCATCACCAAATCACCCATGTGCCATCATCATAGTCCAGTACATTTCCCTCCCCCCACTGTTTTTGATCCCATTCCCCACTCCACCCCCACAAAATGAGCAGACAATTTTTAAAAACTTTAAGATAAACATTTCTAAGTAATGTTGAATGATGAGCAGTGAAAAAAATCCTTGTCTCCTGGACCCCAACCCTGCTGCAGACAGAATGCTGTTGCTTATTCCTTTTTTCCTCCCAGAAATCCTCTGAGAATGGAAACTACTCCCATTCTTTGTTCAGAATTTGAGGCAACTAGTGTTGATCCTTATTTCTTCCCCTGTTGGTCCATGTGGGTCCCTGTCAACATTTTTTTTTTTTTGCTACTGTGCTTATTGAGGGAAAGATTTATAACACTGCATATGTTTGTTAGGGATATAGTTTCACACCTCTACAAATGTGTGTTCTACCACACACACAGACACCACCCAAGTCCAAGTAATCCTCTGCCAGAGTCCATTGGGCCCTGCCCCCACCGGTGTTACACCCTGTCCCCCAACACACAGGTATTCTCAGTTCTGGAGTCAGATTTCACGGGTTTGTTTTTGTCTGTGTCCTAGCTTTGTTTTTTCATAGTCCTGCCAGTCATATGAATAAAATCATATGGCATTAGTCGTTCTTCTTTTGACTTATTTCAACCAGCATAATCTCCAGTTACTTCCATAACTTGGTTGTTGTAAATAGTGCTGTGGTGGGCGAGTGGGTGTATCCCATTGGATTCAAGTTTTTGTATTTTTAGGGTAGATCCCTAGAAGAGTTATATAGTAGACCTGTTTTGATGTTTGGATAAAACGCCATACTGTTCTCCATAAAGGCTGGACTAGTCTAAAACTCCCACCAACAATGTACAGGTTCCTTTTTCCTTTTCAGGTGTTTGATGTACAGATTATTTTCTCCACTCAGTAGAGTGTCATCTCATTTTAATGATAGTTTCTTTCTTTCTGCAGAAGTTTTTTAATTTGATATAGTACCACTTGCTTATTTTTGCGTTTGTTTCCTTTGCCATTGTAGGCGGATCTCCAAATTTATCACTGAAACCTATGTCTTGGAGCATCTTGCATATGTTTATGGTTATATCCATTTGAGTTAATTTTCGTGTATGGTGTGTGATAGTGGTCTACTTCCATGCTTTTTCACATGATTGTGAAGTTTTCCCAACACCTCTGTTGGGAAGTGCACTCCCCCCCCCAGTTTTTGATCCCACTACCCACTCTACCCCCACAAAATATCTCTGGTATATGGCTATTCATTATTCTTATTATTTTCTCACCTGTTCCATTACACTCCTGCTATGAGCGAAACCATCCGGTATTTTTCTTTCTCTTTCTGGCTTATCTCACTAAGCATGATCTTTTCCAGCTCCATCCAAGTTGCTGCAAAAGACATGTGTTTCTCTTTTTTGGTTGCTGAGTAATATTCCATTGTATATATGGTACTTAATTCTTTTTAATGAAATTATAAATCAGATTTTGTTGATTTCTCTCTCTTCTGGTTTGTTGTTTGCCTATGGGAGTACAATAGACTATTGTCTATTGATTTTACAGCTTGCTACTTTACAGTACTGATTTATTATTTCCAATAATAAAATGAAAGTGAAATCTTTAGGGCTTACTATGTATATTATTATGTTGTCTGCAAATAGTCAAAGTTTTACTTCTTATTTTTCAATTTGGATTCCTTCCCCCCCCCCCTTTTGCCTAATTGCTCTGACTAGGACATCCAACACTATGTTGAGTAGTAGTGGTGAAAATGGACACCCTTATCTATGATCATATGCTTTTTTGTTTTTCATTGATTTGGTGAGTCAAATTGATTGATTCATGGATGTTGAACTATCCTTGCATCCTGGAATAAGTACCACTTCATTATGTTTAATGTATTGTTGATTTGGGCTTGCTAAGATTTTGTTGAGGATTTTTTTTTATCTGTGTTCACTCATCAGGGAGATTGGGCTGTAGTTTTCTTTTTTTGGTGTGGTATCCTTACTTTCTTTTGGACACAGTAATATTGGCTCATAAATGTATTTGGAAGTGTTTCTTCTTTTTAAATTTTTTTTAGAATTGCTTGAGAAGCATAAGTATTGGTTCCTCTTTAAAGGCTTATTAGAACTCCCTAGTAAAACCATTTGGGCCTGGGCTTTTTGGAGGGGAGACTTTCATTACTGGTTCAAATTTCTTTTCTTTTCTTTTCTTTTTTTTTAAGATTTGTTTATTTATGCATACAGAACTGGGGTACAGGCCAGAGGTACAGGAGCAGTGAGAGGATTCACCAGAGACAGAGTGGGGAGCAGAGCAGGCAAATCAATGAAGTACACTGCTGAGGGGATCAGTGGGCAAGACAGGAGAGGTCTGCTGTGCTGTGTGGATCACCTGTGGGGCCAGAGATCGAACTCACATTGAAGCAGCTGTGGCTAGCTTGCAGTGTTGCGTCTTAACCCATTGTGCCACCAGGGAGGGCCACTGTTTCAATTTTCTTGCTTGAATTAGTTTGTCCAAATTTTCTTTTTCTTCCTGCTTTAGTATTTGGAGGTTTTGCCTGTCACCCTCTCTAACTGTTACATAATATTACACATACAGACAGAGTGTGAGTGATGAGACCAGTCCTCACATAGTGACCGTCCATGGCACAGCATTAACATGTGCCACATCCGGCAGATGCCATGATTAGACCTGCCCTAGTGCCTACTCTAACTCCCTGTCATCTATTCCTTTATGCATGATGCTAGGGGTATGGAGTAGTTCAGTCTCTGGGTCAGGATGTTATGGCTGATCCATACTGCTCTGGGCCTCTGTCTCTGGCCCTGCCCATTTATCATTTAGTCAGCTCTTCAGCAAACAATTACCAAAACAATGTTTTTGGAGTGCATGTTGTATGCATAGGGGGGCATGAGTGGATTTGTTAGTGCTGGCTCAGATCATAGACCCTCAGTGTCCCTCATGTCATAGATATAGGCAGGTGCAGTGACCAGGAGCTAGACCCTGGTGTTTGAGGGTCAAGGCTTTTCATTTGAAGAGACTGTGCCTCGCCCTTCCCCCCTTCTCTCCTGCTTTTCCAGGAAGCTGCTCCAATAGCACCTTCTGAGCCAGGCTGCACCTAACCAGCCTCTACCTTTCTGTATTTTTAAAATCTAATTTTATGTTCTTAGCAAGTTGAGAGGACACAAGATCAAAGCCATGTCTAGTGAGACAGAAAAGAGAGATGCCTACTACCTGGTGCCTCCCCACCCCCACAATGGGTGGACGATACAGATTCCATGCCCATAGTGTTTTACCCCTTCTTTCTTGTGCATCATCCACACCCTTCCCACCCCTTCTATTCATAAAGAGAACATTTTAGCGGTTATTCATTAGCAGGACTGTGAGACCTAGTTCCTGTGATCCCTGGTGTTATTTCATCATTTTTTACTTAGTAGTCTTCTAAAGTGGGTCCCCTTCCCTTGGTGGTTTCTATTTTCTTGCTGCAGTTTGCTACCTTGAGCCTGAGATGGCTGGAGAAGAGACAGGGCAGGGCAGGTCTCTGAGGTGAAGGACAATGCATCCGTACTCTGATCCCCACCACTGAAGGACCTCCTAGGGTGGACACCAGCTTTACAAAGAGAAGGGTCTCTGGCATCTGACATCCTTACCTTCTACTTTGCCTTCGAATTTAGTTCCTCCTGTATCAACTGGTACTCTATAGTATGGTGTATATTTTTTGGATAGTCCGCAACAGTGGTTCAAACTATGATACTTTCAATTTACAGTGGGTTTTTCATTCATAACCCCATCATAAGTTGAGAGACATTGTAAAATTTTAACTACCTCAGGTTGCAGGACCTTTTCTGACTCCTGTGTTCACTGATGGGTTTGTCTACAATAGTGTTCACCCAGCATACAGTAGATAAACAAACAGTTTTTTTAAGTGAAATTTTGGCCTGTTGCAAGTTACCAAGCAGTTCTAGCTTAGACGCTTCACATTTAAAGTGAGGACTCCCATTTCAGGCCATTTTGCTGATTAAACAGAAGACAGCCCATCAAGTACTTGGGTGGTGCCTGGTGCAGCATACACTGGGTCTGTTCTTCCTGCTTTCTGTCTGGGAGAACCCCCCCCCCAGCAGGAGCCCCCTAGTTCATCCTCCTTGACCCCTAGCTCCTGCCCTCTGACTCCTTCCCTCTGCTTCTTTCTCAGCCGCTCCAGCACCTACTCCTACCCAGAGACACCGCTATACACGCAGACAGCGGGTACCAGCTACTATGAGGCTGCGGGCACAGCTGCCCAGGTCAGCACTCCTGCCACTTCCCAGGCGGTGGCCAGCAGCGGCTCTGTGCCCATGTACGTGTCTGGCAGCCAGGTCGTCGCCAGCTCCACCAGCAGCAGTGGAGGGGCCAGCAACAGCAGCAGTGGCGGAGGCAGTGGCGGTGGGGGAGGCAGTGGTGGGGGCAGTAGCGGTGGTGGCAACAACAGCAGTGGCACTGCAGCTGGCACCTACGTGATCCAAGGTGGCTACATGCTGGGCAGTGCCAGCCAGTCCTACTCCCACACCACCCGTGCCTCTCCAGCCACCGTAAGTATCCATCCAAACCCCACAGGAGGAGGTGTGGGGGAGAGGGGGCCCTTTGGATGGAGGTGGCGGGTGGTGCCATCCAGCTAGTGCGGGAACCTGTGCTCAGATGAAGATATGGCCTGGGAGCATGTCTTAGCTGTGTCGCCTCAGGCAAGTTTCTCAGCCTCTCTGGACCCCTGCCATGACTGGGCCCCCTCGCCAGCTCTCGGATTATGGTAGTTAGGATCTGACGATTCCGGGGTGGTCCCTGTACTTTTGGGGCCTGGGTCGTGGCTCCTCAGCATTTTCAAGGAATACCTTCTCCTGTGGCAGCATGGCGTAGACCGCAGAGCCACAGTGGAAGTCTTGGCAGAAGACAGGACTTCCCTTCTGCATTGATGCAGCTCTCTTCCAGTCTTTTTTTTTTTTTTCTTTTTAAACATGGTTATGACCCACCCAGTTGATTTCATGACTGCCTCTTGGGTGTTCACTCACAGGTTGAAAATGTGCTCTGCTGGAATAGCCATATTCAGCAGAACATTCTCCAATGATGAGAGGGGCCTCTCTGCTGCCTAGCCGAAGGCCTCTTGCCTCTATTTTTTGTTGTAGTTAAGTACCCAGTTTTTCATAAGGCTAAGTTTATTCAAGTCTTTAGTGCAGAGATTATACCCTTCCAAATTATTTGATGGTTTTTAAAAATTATTATTATTTTTTACATCACTTTTGCCTCTAATGGCTACCAAGCACTTGAAATGTGGATGGGGTCACTGAGGAACTCAGTTGAACTGAGTTTTTTGTTTTTTTTTTTAAACTGTGTTTGAAAGAATTGTAGAGACATAAGAAGCTGCAAAAACAGTAGAGAAATTCCTGTGACCTTTCACCCCAGTTCTTGAGTTAGTTAATGTTTTACGATTTTATATATAATTAGTATAGTATTTAACCAGGAATCTGTATGGATAGATTCAGGAAACCACCACTACAGTCAAAAAGCAAAAGTGTTCCATCACCACTAGGCTCCCTCCTGCGCTAACCCATTCCACCTATCTCGCTCCCCAAACCCCTGACCCCTGACAACCACAATCTTTCTCCATTTCTACACTGTTGCTATTTAAATGATGTTCTTTGAATGGAGTCATGACCTTTTCTCATTAGCTTTTTCCAGTCAATATAAATTCAGTAAGTTAATTTAAATTTTTATTTAAATAGCTGTGTGTGGTTGGAGTGCCAGTAGTGGAGAGTATAGTTCTAGAAAGTTTCATAGGAGTTAACTCCCTTGGGATGTGCACCATGCACCAACAATGTGGTTGTCAGGATAGCAGTGGAATGAAAATAGGTGTGAAGAATACTTAGCAAGGAGCACTGGAGAAGCTAAAGTGATTCTTAGCATGCTTCTGTCCTCCCTGGGGCTCCAGGTCCAGTGGCTTCTGGATAACTATGAGACAGCTGAGGGCGTGAGCCTGCCAAGGAGCACTCTCTACTGCCACTATTTGCTGCACTGCCAGGAGCAGAAGCTGGAGCCTGTCAATGCCGCCTCCTTCGGCAAGCTCATCCGCTCTGTCTTCATGGGCCTGCGCACACGACGTCTCGGCACCAGGTGGAGCTGCCACCCTCTGTAGCCCTCAGCAGCCTCAGGCCCCTCTACCCCAACTTCTTGGCATCTCAGCAACCTCCAGCCTGCCCTCACTCACCTCCTTCAGCACCCCCCCT